GGGAAGGGGCGGTGTATCTCATTATTAGCTTACTGAATGTTTCCACTGAAGTTAGGGAGGATCCACCGCTCCCATTTTGCAGATCAGAAAACTGAGGCACTAGAGAGGTTAAGGGGCTTGCGGGGTGTCACCCTGCTAGTGAGTGGCTGAGCCAGGTTTCATCCTGGGGAGCTGGCTTCCAGGGCCCAGCTTGGAGCTCACGCCCTTCCGCCATGCTCTTGTCCCCCTCCTTCGGCAGATCTGTGTCCCAGCGAGGGTGAGAGCGACGCCGAGGCCGAGAGCAAAGAGGAGCACGGCCCGGAGGCCTGCGACGCGGCCAAGATCTCCACCACCACGTCGGAGGAGCCGAGCCGCGACAAGGGCAGCCCCGCGGCCAAGGCGCACCTCTTCGCGGCCGAGCCCGGCGGCCGGCCCCGGGACAGCGGGCGGCTGGACAAGGCGTCGCCCGACTCGCGCCACAGCCCGGCCACCATCTCGTCCAGCACCCCGCGGCCCTGGGCGCGGAGGAGCGCCGGAGCCCGGGCCGGGAGGGCGCCGCCCCGTCCAAGGCCGAGGAGGCGCGCGCGCTGCCGGCCAAGGAGGCCTTCGCGCCGCTCACGGTGCAGACGGACGCGGCCGCCGCGCACCTGGGCCAGGGCCCCCTGCCCGGCCTCGGCTTCGCCCCCGGCCTGGCGGGCCAGCAGTTCTTCAACGGGCACCCGCTCTTCCTGCACCCCAGCCAGTTCGCCATGGGGGGCGCCTTCTCCAGCATGGCCGCGGGCATGGGACCCCTGCTGGCCACCGTGTCCGGGGCCTCCACCGGCGTGTCGGGCCTGGATTCCACGGCCATGGCCTCCGCCGCCGCGCGCCAGGGACTGTCGGGGGCGTCTGCGGCCACCCTGCCCTTCCACCTCCAGCAGCACGTCCTGGCCTCTCAGGTATTTATGCTCCGTCCTCCTGCCTCCTCCCCAGCCCCTCCCCCAGTCCCTCTGGTCTAGTAGCTTTAAATGATAATAATTGCTAGGTGCAAGGGTGTATCTCCTAGATTCATCACCACCTTACACTGCCCCCTCCCCAATACTTAAATTTTTTCTAAGTTAAGGATGTTCATAGCAGAGTAGGTAGGTGGGTGGGTAATAATAAACTATACACAGCACTTACGTTGTGCCAGGTACTCTTCTGAGGTACTTGATCTATTCTGACTTCTGTGGTACGGGTATCACCTCCACTTTATAGATGAGGCCCAGAGAGGCTGAGCAACTTACCCAAGTCACACAGCGGTAGGTGGTGGAGTAAGGCTCTACCCAGGCAGCCTGACTCCAGGGCCTTTTCCAGCGCTGTGATTTAGCTTCAGCGCTGCAATCAGACAAGGGAGAGCCTGGAGCGAAGTGACTCCCGGGGATGGGAACTGAATCTCTCATCCCCCAGC